CCGACCAGCGTTCATCCAGGCAGGAAGACATGGCGCAACTTCACGGCCTTCTAGATTTTTTGGAAAAGGAGCTGGCCCTCCGAGTTGGCCGGTGTGCCAAGTGACAGCTGCCCGCCTCGCAGGCAGGCTCCGCGTTCGGGAGCCCAGGCCTGAAGGAAAAGAATGCCCCCATCTCTGCCACCTTCCTAATGTGGCCGTGGAGGGTGGGCCGGCAGGGCACCCGGCATTTCTGTTTTCATTCTTACTTCAAGAGATTTGCGATGCTGTTTCAGTCTAAAAATAGAGTGTCTGCCGGCTGACTTGTCTCTCTCCCTGATCACTCTCCGCGGATTAGCGGCTGTGTTTTCCTCTCCAGATTTCTATTTTATTATTATCTTAAAAATATAAATGGAAGGTCAGGTAATACTTTCCATAGTCCGTAATAGGACTGGTCCTGGAAGAATCTCAGAAAAAAATATCTTCAAGACATTGGCTTGACGTAGAACAAAAGCATCTCAAAAATATTTGATTTTTCTGGTTTCTCAGAGGAAAGCAAACCGGAGAATCCCACAGCGGTGACTCGCTGTTTTCTCTGTCTCCAGCCCCTCCACCCCATCCCCTTCCACCCCCCATTGGTGAGAGTTCATTCCCCTCCGCCTGGCCCTGGCGCTGAAAAATGCTCAGGAGGCCCTTGCAGGTCTTACGCACAGGGAACGGGGGACTCTGTGCTGCCATCTAGTGGCCCATCCCCGCCACAGCCAGCTGCTCGCCGGAGTCCCGTTTGAACTTGGCTGTGGCGGGAGCTGTGGTTTGGCGTGCATCCTTATAGAGCTTTGTTGCCAGCCACGGAGATTTTTTTCATTTTCACTCCTTATGCCCCCTTTCATTTTTGCATGTTGGCACTTAATTTCATGTGTCTCCAGAGGCTACACTTTGGGTTGTGATACATTTGGTCTTTCAGAAAGGAGGCAGTCGATGCAAACAGACGCTTTTGACAATGGGTAAATCCTAGGCTGGGCGGCCCTAGAAAGTGACAGGCTTAAGGAGACAGACACTGAGAACGAAGCGCGTGATGCGGTTTTTTACGCTCATGCTCGGGCGCGGTTGGTATTTTAGAGTGTTACGACATCTTTTTCCAGGGCATATTTGTTTCTGTCGCTTAGATTTGAGCAGGAATCTTGGGGAAGATTTGTTTGAGGATGCTCACCTGGCTTTCAGAGGTGTGACTGGCACAGATACCTGTCAATATCCAAAATGGTACGACTTCCCTCGCCACCAGGACCCAGCGAGTGCCCGCAGACCTTCCTGCGTTGGCGATGGCGCAGCCCCTTGGAGTTTTTCTGCTCTTGTTAGAGAGCTCATGCCGCGCTGGTGGAGTCACCGAGAAGGCGCTGACATTGTTTTGTTCTGGTCTGTACCTGGAATGCCTGGCAAATAGCAAAGAGTAACTTTTAAATGTGTAATATGCCTCTGGAATCAGGCACACGATTGTTTGTGGGATCCTGGGCGAGTTTCTTAACCTTGGTACCCCGTCTGTAAAATGGGGACAATGAGGAGTTTTTTTGTGAAATGGTGCATATACAATTCTTAGCACAGAACCTGCGATAGCCTTGAGTGGAAAAGTGAACCAAATGAGTTGTGACCTTGAATCAGAGTAGAGGACACTTGGTGCCTGGGGCAGGGGGTGATGAGGAGGCCAGTGGAGGTGGACCCCTGAAGGCGCGGCTTTGTGTGCGCCACTGCGCCCGGAGCCGGAGCCGCTGGCTTGCAGGCCAGTGTTTTTGTCTTTTCAGGGAAAGTAAAGTGAGTGGTCTTAATTAACCTGTGCTTGGATTTACTCTGTAGCTGCTGGGCCCAATTAAGGGGATGCAGGAACCCGCCACTCACCAGTGGTTCTCCGTAGCTTTTCTTCCTTCTTTGAGGGCCTGGGATTCTAAGCATGTGCTCCTGGTCCACACCGACCAGACACTGGAAAAATGGTCAGATACGGCAGCTCTGGGCCAACGTGACCGTTGGTAGAATATAAAGAAAACCCCAGGTGTTATTAGAAGGGAGAGAAACCTGCTCCCCCTCCCCCTGCCACTAACCTACAGCTAAGGTCTAGGTTTGTTCCCTGTGTGTGTACAAAAAAAAAAAAAAAAAAAATTCCAGATGTGAATCTATAAACCATCTGGTTGGAATAACTTTTGTGCTGGACTGTAATTACAAGCTATTTATTATGAATTTTGGGATCCTGTTATGGATCTTGACTGGCTCCCAGGTTTCAGGTTTAGCAAAGAGTTCCTATATTTAAGAGGGCATGTGTCTTCCTTCCTACTTATCAAACCTCAAATGGAGACTTCACACCCTCTTGGACCGCCCTTGGAGCGTTGCGTTTTCCGCATCTGAGTCTGCCATTCAGAGGGGAGCTGCACTGGGGGGTGGTCCTCCCCAAGGCTGCAGCCAGGTTTGCAGAAGGCTGGAGTAACCAATGCCCTGCGTGGGAGGGGTGTTCACCTCATAGGCGCTTTGGCGTGGGGGGAGTTGGTGACAAACTATGGCTGCAGGAAGTGTGCTCAGCGAAGCGAAGTCACTGTTCACAGTGCCAAGTGGCACACACACCGGATCGTTGTTCCGGATTCCTTTGGTGGTGGAAGAAGGGCGCTCTGAAGTTTTTAGACCTGCTCCTTTAGCTGGCATTGAGACCATAGCTATGTATTACATTTGTAATGTAAGGAGTCTGAAAGTAAACTGAAGGACAGCGACTCAGTGTCTTGATGCCGCCATCTTTCTGAAGAAGAGGGAGAGAAGGCCAGCTTTGGAGGGCTCAGAGGCAGGACCCTGGGTTCAGGCTGTCGCTCAGCTGTTCGCTAGGGGACTGTGGACCCATCTCCGCCTCCCTGGTCCCGGGAATGCGCCTGCTTGTCAGCCCTGCCTGCACACTGGGATCACCCAGGCGCGGGGAGAAAACGCCTGGGCCTGCTCCTTGGAAAACCCAGGTCTGAGCTTCGGGGGCTGGGAGGCAGTGCCAGGCTTCGGTAAGAACTGCGTGGGGCTCTGATGTGTCACCTAGTGTGAGGACCATCGCCTCATGGGATTTTAAGGAATTAATGAGATTAGTCCCCATGGAGGCCCTTACCACATCACAGACATGCAAAAGAAAGACAAGAGGCCACTGGGTTACTTGGGTCAACCACCAAAAATCATACACCGACGACCCGTAAATGAAAACCCAAAAGGTCTACACGACCAGCCTGCGAGAGTGGGTACAGGGAGCTGAGCACCGACACCGTCCCTCTCGGTGGCCAGGCAGGTCCTGAAATGGCCTTGCCAGTGTCCTCACCACACTGGCCTCAGGGGTCCGTACCTGAGGTGACGGTCATGCCCTGTGTGAGTCATCCAGTGGGAAAGCTTGAGCAACATTCTTCCCACAGCGGGCTCATTATTCCCGTGCTTCTGGGGCCTTGCAAAGCCAGGAAGTTGGGAAAATAACAGAGGTTTGGGGACAGTGGGCCCAGAGCGCCATCTGCCTCACTCTGGGGGAGCCATAGCTGGGGAGTTGGAGGACTGGGGGGCTCTGGGATGCTCAGCAGGACTGATCCCTTGAAAGGGGAGGAGGTGACAAGTGGATTTTTTTATAGAATGAGGCCCTGGGAGCACCTTGGGGGGCTGTGGGACTCCTGGGGAATTTGAGGGTGGTGTGGAAACACATGTGTTTGATCTTAGAACTGCTTCAGGATGGGAATATGGTCTGTGGGCTGGGCTTGGCCCCCCAGCTCCCAACATGCACACGCACGTGCACGCGCCTCTTTTTGGTTTTGGACCAGAAATGACATTGAAGCGTACTGGGTATCTTCGTGGACCTCCCAAGGTCATTGTCAGAGCTGAGGTAGAATTTCTCCTGCTCATATTCCTGAAAGGTTCTAGGTTCATCTCAAGGTGAGAGAGCCAATCAGTCTTTCCTCTCCGATCTGGCCCCAGTTAGGCAAGGAACGTGCTAGGACCAGCAGCCTTAGCTCAGAGTAGGCCCTGGCCAAATGCACGTTTGTGAGTTCAACTTGAAATCCACCTCTCCTATGTGTGCAAAGCCATATCGTCTTGGAAAAGCCCTGGACCTTGCCTGAGCCACAGTTTTCTTGTTTTTAAACAGGGGACAGTGATAATGCTTGCCTCACAGGATTTGAGTAAGAATGAAAGCCAAGGCACCTCACATTTAACCAGCACTTGTTAACAAAGTTCGACTCTCCTGGAAGTTCTGGGACATGGCTGTTTTGGTTCTTGTGCATTCTGTCTACATGCAGGAACGTACACTCTGTTTGGGTCTTCTCTGGGTCATTGTATCAGCTAACCTTTCAGGATAAAACCAAAGATGCAAATGCTCACCCTACTTTCATTAGCATGCGGCTAATCTAAGGCAGCTGCCCCCCCCACCCCCCCGGCTATTAAACACTGAGGACTGTGTCTCTGCTTGGCAGGGGGAATAGTTTTTTTTCCTCTTACTGAGCCGATTCAGTGCTCAACTTTGTCGTTATTTGAGTTGGAACTTTAGATTGCTGCATTTTAATGCAGTCTACTATTAAGGATTGTTGGACAGCCGTGCGCAAATATTTTTGTTCTCACGATGCAGTCCTGGCTCAGGTAGCCCAATGGGCAAAACATGATTTACGCAAATATTATGGTTTCTATAGTGCATACGAAAAGGAAACCCTAGAACAGAGCGGGAGAAAGCCTCTCTCTCTCCCTCCCTCTCTCTCTCTCCCTCCCTCTCTCTCGCTCAGTGTTTGGTCATCTAGGTCAAGTTGGCTTCTAAAAAAAGAGACTTTTCATCCCCTCTCGTCTGCCCTTAATCTAATAAAGTCCTGTGTTTCTGGATGGGTATTTCCATTCCGGAGGAGACAAAACTCTTTCGCCATTACAGGATTTTTTTGCCCAGGTGAAGGCAAGAGGGGGAGAGGGAGGCTGAGCAAGCCTGGGCCGTGTGTGGGAATCTGGGGATTCTATGTGAAGCTGATTTCCCGTGTCTCTTGTCTCTTTCTGCCCAGAACAAGGAGGTGACCTGTAAGAGAGAGAAGTGCCCTGTGCTGTCGAGGGACTGCGCCCTGGCCATCAAGCAGCGGGGAGCCTGCTGTGAGCGGTGCAAAGGTGACCGATGTCTTGGCGGCCTTCGTGTCTGGCTGTTGCTGCCGACGTTTCTGTCTGGTTCTCTCACCTTTTTGTTCACTCAGCCCTTGGCTGGGTGCAGACAGGTGTGGGGAGGGAAGCTGGCACGTGTGCACGCGTGCGTGTGTGTTGGGGGTGGGTGGTGATAAGGGGACTCTCCTAGGAGAGGTCTGAAAGAAAGGCGAGCATCTGCCCACCGGGCTTATTTTCTAAGGCAAGTTGGTAAAATGCCTCGGACGAACATGATGCCTGTGCACGATGGTGCACACACACGCCGGCATCTTTTTAAGAAAGTTTCTACGCTCCGTTTTCCCCAGGCTTCTCCCTTGCCCTACCCACCTCAGCCAGAGTCTGGAAGCCCACATTTTATCATTTTGGTCCCTATTAAAATTTTTCTTTCCTTACAAATTAAATTTACGTTGTTTGTCTTTCAAGCATCTCTGGGAACCTGTGGCTTGCAGCGCAAGTGTCTCTTGCACACCCCGGTTCCCAGCCTCGGGGCCTCGCCAGGCCTTTCCACTGCCCAGAAGCTGCCTGTGCGACAGGTCGCCAGGCCTCAGGCATCACTTCCTCCTTCAAGTTTCTATGGCAGGGGGACTTTCACACCTGTACTTCAGTGCTGTGTCACCTGTTCTCGGGGGGCAGGACCCAGGTCACACTCTGGCACCGCCCGGTGTATGTTAGTGAGTGCGTAAACAGCGCTCAGCAGAGCAGAGTCCTTGGGACGCAAAATGAGCGCAGTGCTTCTGGGTGTGGACTGAGGAGCCACACCGCCGACTCCTAATCCGACAGTCCTGGGTCGCAGAGTGTTCCCTGAAAGGCCGTGCCCACGAGGAACCACCGCGTGTGGCCTGGTTTGGAAATGGAACCTTTGGAGATGTAATTAGTTAAGATAAGACCCTAGGGGACTGGGGTGGCCCCAGACCCGATATGACTGCTGTTTTTATTTGAAGAGAAGAAGACAGACAGACAGAGACACATGAGAAGGTGGCCAAGTAACCAGAGAAGCAACTTAAGCCCCCGGGCTCTGTTCCTGAGAGTCAGATTCACTTGTTCTGGGGAGAGGTCAAGGCCTCTGTCTTTTTAAAAAGCTCCCCGGAGATTTAATGTGTAGCCTGGGGCAGGGGGCGGGACTCTGAAAGAGTTCTTGACCCTGTACCAGGGGATCCCTCTCCCACAGAATATACATATGGGGCGGGGGGAGGGAAACCTAAAAAAAAACACCCATCAAAAAAAGCTCTTACAGAAACCTGGTAAACAAACTAAAGCCCAATATTTTAGTGACAACCCTTGAATCTCTATATTTAGTGAAGATACTGTGAACTTTTCAAAATTCCCATTATACAATATCTACATGTCCAGTATGAAGACCAAATTGTTTGTTAATAACTATAGTTATTGTAAACTATAATAATTTTTTTGCTCAACCCCCCCCCCCAAGTGAACAATCAATTAAGCAAACTAAAAACAAGAGAGACAGGCCTGGGGGTTGTGCTCCCAGCAGCCAAGCGGAGCCTGGTGTGCCAGGAACCAGGTGAAGTCTGAGGAGGGTCTTCCCTCAAACCTTCAGCGGCTCTGCTGATACCCTGACTTGGGACTTGTAGTTTCCAGGTGTGAAAGAATTGGTTTCTGCTGCCAGAGGCCACCAAGCTTGCGGTCCTTGGTTACGGCAGCCCTGGCACACTGATGCCCCATCTTTCCACTTGGGCAGGTGGAGACACGGAACCTTGCTCTACCCTGGTTCCCTCACCTGTAACGTGAGGACAATGTGTGTAGAAGGAACTAAATGGGAAGATACAGTCGAAGTGTTTAGCACTCGGCCTAGCATGTAAATATTTCTTGATTAAATAAGTATAGTAGGTGCTCTTGAAATAGTTGGCAGGCTTGACTATAAACACACATTGTCTGAATCCTTTTGGAGCTGGGTTTTCCTTTGACCCTTTCTTCTATTTTTATTTTTATTTTATATTATTAGAATGAAGGTAGAAGAAATACAGTAAAATAGATCATGGCCAAGAAAATAGAACCGAAGTGTTAAAGTGCTGGTGAATGCTTATCAAAACTCTTCCAATGGTGTAACTAAATGGGGTGAGGGGACTTGAGCCCCGAGAACTGACTAACCACCTCCCATCACTTCTTGGGACTTTGACTTTGTTTATTTCCCTTCCAATGTCTCTCTTTTCCTTCTTCCCTTCCTTAGCATAATTCTTTCAGTTTTTAGCTTCAGTTAGATAACTACTACATTAATACAGAATCATACCAAAAATTTGAACAATAAAGGGGAAAAGCATATTTTTGAGCTACAAAACCCTGCATTTCTCTGAAATAACAAGTGTTACCAATTTTCTGTATCTTTCCCAGACCTCCTTTTCTGCTTTGTTTCATGTACGCGCGCACACATGTAATTTTGTATGTATGGTTTTATTTTTGCACAAATGGAATGAAACCATACATATTCTTTAACAGTTAAAAAACACCTCCACAATAACATGATTTGGAGATTTTCCCATGCCACTTCGTGCTGTTGTTTGGATTCCAGAACACAGATGCACAGCAGTTCAATTAACATCTTACCAATAGAGGTTGAGACTCAGTGTCTTGCCAAGTTGCAGCGAACCTGCTTGCCATTCCTGTTGCAGCCACAGGTGCGTGTTTCTCCAGGACAGAAACCTGGATATCAGAATGCAGTGGGAAGAGGCGTGCACTCATTAAATTGTAGTGGACGGCACTCAGTGGCCTCCCAAAGTGGCAAGGTTAGTTTCCTTTCCTATTCCTTGAGAGTTTGAAGATCGTTTTTCCCCAGAGATAGACTAGAGGAGGAAGAGCTGGTATTACACATGACAACATTCAGGCAACTTGGCTGACTTTTCCTTAAAAACTTGCCCACACAGCCATAGTGCCCATGCACTGCCCACATAGCCAGTTCTTCATCTTCAACTGCCACGTGCACACTTCCCTCCCAACTCTTCCCTGTTCCGGATATGTTCCTCCTCTTCTTGTGGTTTGGTAGGAAATGGAATCAAGCTCTTTTGAAAGAACGTAGCTGAGGGCCGTCAACGGCTTCTAGGTTTTTCTATGAGACATAGAAAGCGCTGGTAGTTGTGAACAACTGGAGACTTGTATGATACTATTTTTGCAAAATTTAGCCCAATACTGAAGAACCACAGTTACAGAATCAATTCAGTTTAGAATATAGGCTGGATGGGGAAGAGGAGAATGATTTTCTTGGCTCTTATATCAATGAGAAATACAATTACCATCATCTTCAACATCCTAATTCTCAAACATACTCCATACTCAAGGCATTTGAAAGCTCTTGGAAGTTACTACTTTTTGTTTGGTTGGTTCGTTACTTTCAATATGGGGGAAGCATGCAGAGAAGTCATATTATTAGCTCATTCTTTCTTGGGGGACAAGCAGAGAGGGCATATTATTAACTCATTCTTTCTTGGACAGCCTACTAAGAAATTTGGACCCTTTAAAATTCCCTTATTATGCTATGTTTATATTTTATTCTATGTGTACTCCTGTGTATGTGGGCCATTTCTATAATTGGTGTTAATAGTTTATTTATGATTATTGGAGCCTAATTCCATTTCTTTAAGCCGTTACAGAAGTTTATATTCATTGCATCTTGGTATTTATGGCCACGACCATTTTTCATGGGTTTTTTTGCCCCCAGGTCATTCCCATTGTTTGTTTGAGGCTAGGCTGCTGGTTGGGAACACGGCTCCTTAGTGAAGACACTGTGCTTGTGAAAGCCCTGGGCCCTGTGGGGTGTGAAGTATGAATTATCTGGTTGATTTTAAGACCTTTACCCCCACCCCTCCAACCTATTATCTTCATAGTAGTCCAGAGGGGACTTGCTTTCCCACACCGCTGGAGACTGGGTTAGTTGGTTTATGCTCATCACTTAGTCCTCACCCCAGCAGATAATTGCTACCTTTCTCATTTGACACATGAAGAAACTGAGGGCACAAAGAAGTTAAGTCATCAACCCAAAGACCAACCAAAGGGCGTCTTCAAGGAGGTTGCTGTACGGGAGGGGACAAAGAAATACCTTTTGGTGGGGGTGGGGGATGTTCTCCGGGGGAGCAGGGCAAGGGAAGGACAGCTTGTGGGCTAAGGGTCGGAGTGTGCTGGGAAGCTGCTCACTTTCATGAACAAGAAGGAGTTAATCACATCCAAAGAGGGCTGTTCAGGGGAGGGCTGGGGGAGGGGTCTTGGTGCACACAAAGGCAAGAAATAGTTCTTAAGCACCGCCTGCCACTTATAATCACCTAGGGAACTTGTTAAAATATCAGTTCCTGGGCTTCCCTCCAGATCTATTGAATTAAAACGAATCTGGAATAAGTTTTTGTTTGTGAGTTGTTGATTATTTGGGGGAGGGTAGAGGAGTCAGACAAAAACGTAACAGATTTCGATCATGACTTCTACTTATTTTCCTCTGAAAGAGATGTTGATATTAAAAAGGCAAATCTGTTTGAGGACAGGAATATGAAAGCTCATATTTCCGAAAGGATTCTTAAGGTTGTGTGTATGTGTGTATGTATTTGCGTTGTGTTCCTGTTTGCTTCAGATTGCTCCCATGATTCATTTGTTCATTCATTCATTCATTCATTCAACAGGTATTTACTAACCCACATGCCTGGTATTTATGGCCTGGCATTGCTTACCGATTGTTCTTAACTTTTAGGAAGCCAGAATATTCTTTAAAAAACAAAAAAGTAAGTAAATTATAACTAATTCTTCTCAACCAAGCATTTTAGTGTGCTATTCATTTTATTTTATGCTAATAATGGTTATAAATTTTTACCCATCTACCTAAAAACTGTGCCAAAGATTAATTTAATTTGGAAAAACTCAATATTGATTGACGAAAACAAATGATATCATCGAGAATCAAACAGGCCGCTTTGGCAGCTTTTCTGTATTTACTTGGACTGAGAATTGCCCTTTAATTTGGGGTTCTTTAATAGACA